ATAGCATGAATACAATCAGCAGCAGAAGAGGATGCTTCATTCATTAGCTAAGTCTGAGATAAGACGTCAGGAGATTAGGAAGCAGCTCCAAGAAACTGACCAGGAGGTCATGGAATGGCTAAGAGTGTTCTCAGTAAGTATATGATATCATGATTTGTTACTAAAGGAATTCCTTCAGGAAAAGTTTGAGCTTGTATTAGAATAGAATAGACTTCATAGTCAGTATTATTGTGTATAATAATATTACAGTAATCATAATTATTATACCTGATTGTATTGTTGTAGAGTTATAGGCAGAGGAAGAAGAAGGAGCCAATCAAGCAGAAGGAAAGAGAGAGTGCTCAGAGGTGTCTTGATAAAAGACATAGACTATCCCAACACTTGCTAGTTTGATTTTAGTTTATGTGATAATAAGTCAATGTCAAGCAACTATAATCAAGTATACATACTATTAGGGTACTCTTGCTATAATCAAGAGCAGATTATTGTATGCATTTTCTGTTGGGCATGGGTGGGGCTCGATCACGTGATTGGTGGAGTAAAGATGGACAGAGCTAGAGCTAGAGATGCATCAGGTCAGTTCCTCCCTCTCCTGTAAGGCTGTAAATGATGTTAGTTATTGGTATTCTGCAGGTCAGTATCAACTGGGATGGAGGTCTGGACACACAACTGCAGTAGTAGGAGAGGTTCTGTACTGCTGGGGAGGGGACCAGAAAGGATTAGATGAGTCCCACGATTCTCCTACCAAGAGAGAGTGTACTTCTGCTGTTGATGCGTTTAACTTATTATCTGGTGTTTGGTCCTCTCAACCTACTAGAGGTACTCCTCCACTGGGAATCAGAGGAGTCTCCTGTACCACCATTAATAATAATATTTATTATTTTGGTGGTTGGTGTGGCCATGACAGTTGCTACCATAACAGTTTGAACTGTTTAAACACTTTAACTCTTCAATGGAAAGAATTACAACCAACTGGTGACAATTCTGTGACTAAGAGAGCCTATGGTGGTATGATAGCAATGGGAAGTGAAGGTGAACCTCAACAGTTACTGGTTATTGGTGGGCAAGGTACTGCCACACAGTACCATTATCAATTTAAGTATGATAAGATACCGTATGAGGATGATGATCTTAGAACTAATGAACAGAATATCTACAACCTGTCCAGTGGTAAGTGACTCATTGTATTGTATTGAAATTTGTAATATTTTGTGGCTGGAATGAAATTACATACAGTTTATTTATAGTCAATAGTATCAAGTAATAGTACTGTCTACCATACGTGTATTAATAATAAAAGATAAAATAATAACATGCAATTATACTTTCAGGTCAATGGATTGTTCTATCTGTCAGTGGACAGTGTTTTCCACCAACTAGTAGCTTTATAATTGAAAGGATCAGTCATAATAAAGGAATTATGTATGGAGGAGTAGTGACTGATGGTGATGGAGATATTTCTATTTCTACTAACAGTATCTACTTGTTTCAATTATCACATAATACAATAGTAAGTTACTATATATCCTCAAATAAACGCTGGGTGCAAATAAATGCCTGGTTAGCAATAAAATGGAACTACATTGTATAAATACGTAAATCTACACCACGTACATAGTCTTACACCATCATAAATGCATTGTAGATGCCTCCTTAAGATTCCTGTAGTCACTTGCGTGAGGTCCCAGGTTTGATCCCACTGTTGGCTCATGTTAAAAAAAATTTTTTTAAGTCCGAAATCCAAATGTCATTTTAAGAAATACCGTTTACTGGTTTATTTTCATCGTAAAATATTTTTGTGAATTTTGCAGGTTTGTGATCATTTGCGAAAATTTTTCACTACAAAATTCTGCTCTCCATTGCCATGTGGTGCAGTCTGCAAGCAATTCACAAAAATTAATTCCACGAAATCTTAGAAATGCAAGATTCGCAAAGAAAATTTTTACCGTGAAAATAAACCAGTATACAGTAGGCACCCAGGTTTTTATTTGAGCAAATACGATACATGTACAAGTAAATAAAAAAACATTAAAAATGGAAAAGTAGTAGGATTAAATTGTAAAAAAAGTAATGAAACAAGAGGGTACTTGCAAAGTGGTGTGATAACAAATCCTACACCACTGCATGAAAGACATGGCTTCATAGTTATCATGTAGTAGCCTGTGTGGATAATTACAATGCTTTTGGGTAATATTCTTCATGCAGTGATGTAGGATTTGTTATCACACCACTCTGCAAGCACCCTCTTGTTTCATTACTTTTTTACAATTTAATCCTACTACTTTTCCATTTTTAATGTTTTTTTTATTTACTTGTTTCCATTCTTTTTTCTTAATTTATAAATTAGACTTTGTTATGATTATGTGGTTAGGTTAATTATATTCATGCTGATCACGTGTGCATAAATTAAAATGGCGTCAAACCACAGACCCACGCGGTGCTGCAGCTGGAATTTGTCTTCCATTGTTCTCTGTCTTCGCTTCTTTTTGAAGCCACATGTCCAGTCCTTGACCCAAGCTCAAAGGAATGATGTAAAAGCCAACTTGAGTGGTTCTCTGGCTCAAAAGATTTCTGTGTTGATAGAAGAAAGATGAAAGAAGAAAAAGTCCGAAGAATTTTGCAGAAATTTGAACTTATGACTGATTTGGGCCTATTCTCCAAAAAAGCTCCTGCTAAAGTACAGTCCACTTTAAAGGTATCAGAAGAATCGCTCAGTGAAGGAGAGCTCATCTAAGCCATTTATAAGGCTGTACAACGTAAGATAAGAGTTATAAGTGTTTGAAAATCATAAAAACAGCCGCCATCTTGAAAAACCAACCTCAATCCTACATATAGACCAGAGGAGGTTCGACAGGAAGTCTGTACAGGAAATAATTTCATCACAATAATTAAATATTTGGCATACTTTCAATTAAAATTGAACATGGCGGCTATGGTAACTACTATTGCCTTTTGCCTCATAAAGAAATTAAGCGGGGCACATGGACGCTGAAAAGGTCAAGTTTCTTAAAATCCTTTTGGAAACCATGTGGGGGAATAAAAACTATGGGAACACCAGTAAAAAACCGTGTCCCATTTCTAATAAGGGCTCACGTGATGCTAATTAAGTGACCTTTTGACCCTGTCGAACCTCCTCTGCATATAGGTTACCCAGTAGCCTATATAATATACTTATCAGTATAATAAAGCCATGAACAATAAAAATAATACATGCATATAATTTTATTTCTAGAACTGGGAGTATCTTAAACAAGGATCAGTACCTAATGATGGACTGTGGCCTGTAGGAAGAGATCATCATGCCAGTACTATTATCAATGGTGTCTCTACCTCACCTACACTAGTAGTGATTGGTGGAACAGATAGTGATAATGAACTAGTGAATGAATGTTTATTATTAGACACCAATGAGTACAATTGGATGGAGGTATTAATAAATTATTGTAGTCAGTGTATGCACCAGTACATTGGTAATGTGAATGTGAATTGACTGAAGATTTGTGGTATTTTTCAAGCAAATAAGTCTGACCAGAAGTGTAACTTCATTTAGGATGTAGCTTTAAATTAATCATTGTTTAACTATTTTGCTTCCAGTTTTTGAAATTTTTGTTGAGCAGTGCTCCTAATTGCCAACCCTACAACTACATGTACCTTCATCAGACTATCTCATAACTGATACCAATGTCACTCTGTAAACTGTATACTCTATTTATTATTTTCTACAGATTCCTCTACCTGATTCTGTTACTGGCAGATACCATCGTACTGTATCATCTTTTGTTGTTGATCCTAATCATGTGTTCCTGATAATAGTGGGAGGTGATATAGAGACTGAACAGGAAGATATAGGAGGAGAAGTAATGAAATGGGTTGATGCACCTGTCACTGGTCCTAATATCACAATAGTAGTAGAACTAGGTGAGTTTATTATTTATTTATTTATATTAGGAAAATTGTATACATAAATTCAAACTAGGCGAACATGATGAAAAAATTAATTATAATAATACCACTATTAAAATCATTTATGTAGAACAACACATTTTACAGAAATTCAAAAGTGTAGTTTTGTCATTGCTTTTTGTCCTTTCTCTTCCTCACTTGGCAATCACTAAATTATTTCCTTCTCGTTCTCTCTCTCCCTCAGTTTTTAATGATGGTCAATGGTCAGTGTGTCTAGTATTAGATTCATTTAATATTCCTTTATTGTATGAACTAATACTAAAAGAAAGAACAATTGAAAAGTATGTACACATGACAGATAAAGTGAAAGAGTTTCAAGTTATTATTGAGTCTTTACGTCATGAGAACCAATCACTTCGGGAGGCACTATGTGAGACTCATTCACTGTCAGGTAAAATTACATGAACTAGTCCATTTGTTTAAAGATCATAACTACATATACATATACATGTATCACGTTAATACAATTTTGTTAAAGAAAGTACATGTATATACACCTGTACATGCACATACATGTAGTTTGTGTTGTGCTTCCATTGCTGTACATACATGTGTGTACATGTTAGTGTTGTTTTAGTTACAAAATTTAATTTTAGTTTAGTTACTATTAGTTTTTTGTCTTTTTAATTAAATTAGTTAGTTTATAGTTTAGTTTGTCCCTTCTATCAAGAGTTTTAGTTAGTTTTAGTTAGTTTTTTTTTCAATCAAAAAAAATTTAGTTAGTTTGTAGTTAGTTAACTAAATCTTTGCATGCTCATAGTTAGTATTAGTTTTAACAAATTTAGTTAGTTATTTTAGTTAAATTGCTTGAACGGCTATAGAAATTGCTTGTTAGTCTTTAAAAGTATCTCAGTTTCTAGTGTTGCTCCACTTAATCTATTCCTTCTGCCTGATGAGCAATAACCAGCAACAGAAAACACTCTTTCAACGACAGTGGATGATGCTGGAATTGACAGTACCTCTTGAGCTA